CCGCTTACGGAGACAAAGGCCACGAGGTCATTTCAGGTGACTGTTTAGTCCAAAGTAAGCTCGGCGGACTCTGTGCTCCTGACGCAGGAGGCCTCTGGAAGGGAAGAAGTCAGGAGAGAGGCTGAGAGGGCCAATGCCCGTTGGTCGCCCTAGAGCAACATGAAGCACTATCACCTTCCTGGGTTCGGCACCAGATGTAAGGTTTTAGGCAAGGAAAGAGCACACAGGAGGAGGTAATGGTGAAGAAAGGAAACTTTATTGGGGTATGCTCCCGGGCACACTCCCTGGTCAGGATCAGAGAGGTCGCCCCGAGTCTGGTTGTAGCAGGGTTTATATGGCCAGGGTCAGCAGGAACTTTTAGCATGTAACTTGTTTTGCCAGTTTGAACAGTTTCGGGCTAGAGCCCCCAAAGGAGAGGTCTAGATAATTGGGACAGGTGGTGTATAAGGAAGTGGCTTTTCTCAGCTGCCTCTGCCCTCCAGCGGCCTGACACACATATCACCCAGTTTCTGGTGGTCAGGGGGTATTTCTGGCTCCAAGTGTCACCCTCAGGGTCTGTCATGGGGACAGTCAGTGTGTTTAGTCATCTTAAGACTTAGCTGGGGCCAAACAATCTTCTCCCAAGATGTCTCACTCACATGACTGCTGGCAGGGGGCCTCAGTGCTTGGGCTTCTCTATTAGCTGCCTCAGTCTTCACAGCATGGCTGGCAGTGGCTTGCTGCCTACCCAGGGGGCCGATCCAGCAGCAGACAAGATGGAGGCAAACAGCTGGCTTTGTCTATCTAGACTTGGGAGTCACTCGTGGTCATTTCCATACAAAGACAGTGATGACGCAGTCAGTGGTGTTTGCTTCGAGATGACTAGAGGATAGCAATTCTGGGAGGGGTTTTGGGATTGTGGTACCTCATGATCTAGTTTGAGGTGAATAATTCAGATGTAAAAACTCTGTAGCACACATAGCTCTTCTCTTTTCTCCTGGTCATGCCGTGGGCTGCTGAATAAGGATTCATTGCCCTCGATTTGCTAATCAGTCGATGCAGGAATGAGAGGTGGTATAAACCTGTGCTAAGAATGGTGTGGAAATGAAGCCACCCACAAGGGACATTTTCAGCACAATATTTAAATCAATAGAAGAATCTGAGATGTGACAAAATAAGAAGAGACCATAACAATAAAGAAGCAGGGGGTTACCTGGCTATTTCTTAGAAACCTTCATCTTCTGTCTGGGAGATGTCAGACTATAGGAATGCAGCCCTGAGCTATGGCCAGCAGAGGGCAGACTTCCCTGAGGCAGAGACCTCGGAGTGAACTTCACAATAAAGGAGAAATAGAGAACCATTAAGGTTTAGAGTGGAAAGCAACCTGAAAAAGCCCTCCAGCAAGACCTTATTTCACAGATGAATAAACCAAGGCCTACAAAAGCAAAAGGAGCTTGTTCAGGTTCTCTTAGCCTGCAAGTAGAGTACATGGGATTTGAACCCATCTCCTTGAATATGTTTTGCTTTCATTAAAGTCAATCTTTGTTCATTAGCACGGCTCGAGGAGTACTGGTGGCTCTTGACTCACAGATGTAGCCTGCCACATTTTAGACAAGTGGAAAGGACTAGACTCGCCTCTTTGTTCATTGTATTTGGGCACAAGGATAATAAAATGTGTGATAGTTTATTTTTGACTTGTCACTTTTGTATTTATTATTTTATTGAAAAACATACACACAGTGGAGAAACGACCTAATTTAATAGATCTTACAAAATGGCTCATCATTATAAAATTCATAAGGTTAATATAAATTTAATCAGTGTTCAGTGGACAACGCTCATTGGATGAATGGCACGGTGTTATTTTGCTAGAACAAAGCTGCTGCTTACTACCTGTATTCAGTATTAAGTTTGTGGTGTTTACCTGCCTCTGTGCTGTGTGATAAGCCAATTTTCCCACTATTTTATTCTGTGTAAACCACGAATGAGCCTTCATTTGTGTAGTGAGTCGTTTTAGGATCATTTTGTTTTTCTTTAGTGATAGTGCTTTATTTAGTGCTAGTGTTCCTATTCTCATTAGTTGGATAGCTTTCTTATCTCCAACGTAACTACAAACACAAATGTGGCCTGCTGAGTCTTGGAGGGGTGATTGGTCATAGGTAATTACCCACAGGATATATGGATATCAATGTAAGCATCTCAATGAAAACCCACTCCAAAACGCATCGGCCGCCTCGTGGTTCCCTGGAAATATATTCATAAACCCTCGGGCATCCTCAGGATGCAGCCAGGGACAATGCATAATGCATTCAGTTTTAGACCTGGTAATTTGTTCTAGACAGGCTCTCATATGCTGTCGGAGTAAGCATTACCTTGCTTTCAAATGGAACAAGGAGGGGCATTCACATGTATGTGATTGTCCGTGATAAATGAAGCGCTAATTAATAAATGTATGGGAGCACAGGAGAATCTTCACCTTGTCTCCAGTCACTCAGTTTAAAGGTAGATACTGCAGAAATGGCAGAGTTAGGGCTTAGGCTGGGTTTCCTGGCAGCTTAGCCCCAGAAACTGGCTTTGACCTTCTGCTGACTCAGCCCTGCTGGAAATGGCGCATCCGTTAAGACTTAACTAAAACCCGAAGCTCAGGGAACAATGTGCCACAGTTACCAATGAATACCTTTTGGATTCAATCTAAATATCAGGAGATCCTGCCAGAACAATTGTGCCAAGCTTCTTTTTTGGCATAAGCATAGTGTCCGGGTAAGAACATCAGAAGGCTAGGGCTGTTTTCTAAGGCTGAGATGTAACATTCCAACTCTAGCGTCACATGTCAAGCATGCAGTCTGTCACGAGAGTTTTGCTGGCCTTAGGCCAGCATTTCACAGGGTTTATGTGTATGGAAGCATCCAATAATAAACCTTAAATAGACACCATTTTCATTTATCAGGGGTCGCTTCCCGAACCCCTAAGGCACAGAGACCTTTGTGGCTAAGCCTTTGGATGTTGTCTATTCTGCTCAAAGGTACCGCACCCCTCCCTCTCTTGTGTTTGGGGTAGGGATGGGGAGGAAGTATCCTCTCCTCCCATCTCACCATCACTTCCAACTTGGGATTACACAGACTCTTGAGGGTCTGAAGATGAATATTAATTGGGCTTAATTGCCCAATACAGTTTAGTGGAAAATTTAAAGGTGTGAATGTTTGAACAGTTTGGAGGGATGCTGTAGCTTCCATGCCCATCTCCACCTGTTGAAATCTTTCACTATTTTTCTCCATTTATTTATTTAATCTTTAAATAGCTGTACAAAGGAATTGCCATTTAATGGAACAGTTTATAAATACAATGCGTCTTTTTTTTTGTTGTTGTTGTTGGTCATGGGGCCTGAACTCTGAGCCTGGGCACTGTCCCTCAGCTCTTCAGCTCAAGACTAGCACTCTACCACTTGAGCCACAGCGCCACTTCCGGCTTTTTCTGCTTATGTGGTGCTGAAGAATCTAACCCAGGCCCTCATGCATGCAAGGCCAGCACTCTACCACTGAGCCACCTTCCCAGCCCATACAATGTGTCTTAATCAACATTCTCATCCTCCTCCCCTTATTTTTTTCTTAAGTTTATGGTATATACAATGAATTCTTTGCTGCATCCTCCCCCTCCTCTCCTCTTTACTTGTCTGCCCTTCACTTATTGGCTCTACCCCTGATCTTGTATGTACCTGTTTTCTGGGTAGTTATTTTGTTGGGTTTTGACTTTTTTTTTCTTTTTTTAAAATAAGTTTTTTATTGTGAAAATACTGTACAGAAGGGTTACAATTACATGAACAAGGTAATGAGTACATTTCTTATCCAGCATTGTTGCCTCCTCCTTTGTTTTTCCTCTACCATTCCTTCCCTCTCACCTCCTCAACTACCCCTCCCACCCCTCCCTCCTAAATTGTAAAGTTTGTTTTTCCACATAGTGTCTTGTATATCTCATTGTTGCAATGGGTCAACCTGTATCCCTATTTAAACAATTTATTTTTTCCCTTCCCTTCCCCAAATTATACTAACATCAAATACAGTGAAAACAGGGGTTTATACCGTGGGGGAGGGACATACTAAGCAACAAAAAAATCGCATGGTACCTTATAAATACATTAGAAACAATAGCAAGGAAGAAAAAACCACTTGTGTCTTATCTTGGGGTTCATTTCACTTAACATCATCTTATCTGACCTTTTCTGCTTGACTCAGGCATATACTAGTTATTGCAAATAAGGGAAACCATGGGGACCTGTGTTTCTTTGGGCCTGGCTTACTTCACTTCATATAATTTTTTCCAAGTCTTTCCATTTCCTAACAAATGGGGCAATGTCATTCTTTCTGATGGAGGCATTTTTTTTCTCTCTTTTCCTCCTTCCCTCCCTTCCTTCCTCCCTCCCTCCCTCCCTTCCTTCCTTCCTTGGTCTTGAACTCAGGGCCTAAGAACTGTCCCTGAGCTTTTTTTTTTTTTAAACTCAAGGCTAGCTCTCTACCACTTGAGTCCCAGTTTCAATTCTGGCTTTTTTTTTTTTTTTGTAGTTTATTGGAGATAAGAGTCTCTGAGCCTCCGAAGCCGGGCCTAGAGTGCTGTGCACGTCTGTCCTGGGAATCCTGGCGGATGGGGACCGATTTGCGGCATGTGCAATGCGATCGGCTTTCTCCCACACGCGAGGCCGCGGGGCGCGGTGCCTAGGGCCGGGCTGCGCCCTGTATTGCGCTGCCGCCCTGCCGCGGCCGCGGCAGGGGGCCCGGGAGGGTCTCCCCGGAGAGCTGGGCGCACCGTGTGCGCGCGCGCGTGCCGCGGAGGGCGCGTGTGCCGCGCGCGTGTTCGGCGCGCGTGCCATGCCGCGCGCACGGGGGGCGCATCCCGCTCCGGTGGCGTCTCCAGCGCGGCTCGGACACGTCGCCGCCCCTCTCGGAGTCTAGTGTTCCCCGGTGGCTCGAGGCCTAGGTGTGGGATCCTCCCTCGGCGCTGGGGCCAGGCCAGGCCAGGCCCAGGGCAGGCCGGACAGAGCCGGGGCGCGCGGAACCACCACCCCGGACAGGCCGCAGGGCCCTGCCCCGCGCCGCCTCCGGTTTCTCGGCCGCTTCCGCCTCCGGGTGCCTGACCCGGCGGGCGGGTGAGCTGAGCCGCTCGCGCGCAGTGCTCGACCGTGGGAGCCGGCCGCGCGGAGGATTCGGCCATTAGTCCCGGCCGGCCAGCCAGGCAGCCAGGCAGCAGCGCGTCCCCAGCCGGGGTGCCCAGCCAACGCCACCCACCTCCCGTGTGAATCACGGGGTAAGTGATTTCCTCGGACGGGATGGGGAAAGGGAGGAGGAGAGCGGGGAGAGGAGGACCCCAAGGGTGAGCGCGCCGGCCCCTCCCCTGGCTGCCAGGCTGGCTTCCCAGGCAGGACTGGCGGATCCATCCAGCCGATCGCCCCCCCAGCTACCGGGGTCCAAGCCGCAGAGAACGGGGCCTAGAAAACCGCCCCAGACCCGAGGGGGCTCGGCCTCCACCGCGGGGTTCAGCCGCAGCCGACACGCGCCCAGGAGGAAGCAGCGCAGGTGGGGGTCCAAGTGGGAAGGGTCACCCCACTAGTCTGTTCTTCCACGATGAGAATTCAACATCGCTGGAAGACTGCGTCTGAGAGCCTACAACCTCCCGAAGGAAGTATTTCCCTAGTTTTCCTTTAATTTTTAAATTGCTGTTATCACGATGATGGACAGAGGGGTCACCCCGCCTCACTCTCCCCCAGGGTATTTTTTTTTTTGCCTCCCATCCCCTACCCATGGGTTGTCTAGTTTTCATTTTTAACATGGTGTCTGGTGAGTACCGCTGCTGCATTTCCTAGTTTTCTGAGGTGGAATTTGAACCTGATTTCCCATCACAGACACTCATCCGTGGGTTCTAGGATAGAAGAGTCCCTGGCTTTGGACTCTATCGGAGTCAGGTCACCAGGTCTAGGCACTCTTAGTTTTGTTGGAGAAAGAATGTTAATTAAAAAAAAAAAAAGTGTGTAGAGAAGGCCTAAGCAGGAGCAAGATGGTTAACGTGAAACAAAGCAAAAGCAGAGCAAAAATGCCGTCTGTGTGTGGGTCCCCAAGACCTCAAGCTTTTACTAGGACCTGCTTGACATGGAGGTGGTCAATTCTGGAAAACTGGCTTAAAAGTTTACTAATGTCCAGGGTTTGCAGGTTCATTGGGAAACAAATGAAGCCTGAGCTGCTAAATCTCTTCTTTGCAGTTTCTTCCAGAAGAGCCCTCATATAATCAGGTTTTTTTGGGGAAAATAAAAAAACACCCAGTGGAACCACACTATTTTTATATATTCTCTGCTACACAGGGTCCTCAGATGGTTTGGGCATCAGTCCCTACAAAATATGGATTTGTCCCTATTGCTAGGTAATTATTATATTATCTAAATTTATAAAAGAGTTGAGGAAATAACAGAAGTGGTCCATAACTATTTTTTTTCTAGACTATCACCATTAACATGAACAAGACAAATTTGAACCATTCATCTACATAGTAAGGAAATGCAAACAATGAAAACAAAGAGGAAAATTTCAAAACCTGTTTTTTTTTAAAATCCACCCCCCCAACTCTGTTTAGAACTCCTGAAGGTTCTATTCTGAGAAGTAACTTACAAATACAAATGAAAGGACTGAGGAGGATGTAGTTTGCAAGTGGCAAAGTATTTCTTCTCCATAGTTCAAGTCAGTACCTGGGTTCAAAACCCAGGTGGGGCAAGGAGAGAGGGAAGAAAAGAATAAAGGAACTTGTACTTCTTAAAAATATTTTTGTAGCTAAGCAGAAAATGTATATACTATAGCATTATATATGTACCTATATATGTGTTAAAACATTTTACATTTTATTCCCCACTGTTGTCAACCTTACTTTTTTTTTTTTTGTCGGTTGTGGGGTCTGAACTCTGGGCCTGGGCACTGTCCCTCAGCTCTTCAGCTCAAGGCAAGCACTCTACCACTTGAGCCACAGCGCCACTTCTGGCTTTTTCTGCTTATGTGTTGCTGAGGAATCAAACCCAGGCCCTCATGCATGCAAAGCAAGCCCTCTACCCCTGAGCCACCTTCCTAGCCCTCAATCTTACTTTTGGTAATCTACATTTAGGAGAAACCTTCAGATTTCTAAGCATGGAATAATTTCATTCTATCATCTTCTCATTTCATATTTATATTTCATATTTCTAGCTTAGGATTTAGTCATTATTGAATGATATGAGTCATATCCAGACTTCTTATTAAGATAAGTGAATAAACTTCTTATAAATATTTTATTGAATTTTAAGTTCACGAGGCAAAGAAACAAAAAATATGGCCCATAATGAGGAGAAAGTAAATCAATTTTGATTGATTGAATATCACTTCAGTTTATTTCTAACAACTTGCACAAATTAGAATCTACTATTAAAGATCAAATAGCCAGTTGCCAACTGGAAGAGGCAGAGTGCCAAAGAGAGACAGGGAGTGGGAAAAGACAGCTCTTCTCTGGAGAGCACAGAACAGCTCCACAAACATAAACAAGGCAGGAGAGGACACATACTTAACCCCTATGCTAGAAAGGCTTATGGATGCCAGCAACTTCTTGCCACACTCCTCTTGCCAATCCTATTGAGCCCCGTTGGTAGGACCAGTGGCCTTAGTTTTACAAGATTGGTTTCTCGATGGTGACAAATCCTTGCTCAGTCATGAAAGATGTACCACATGGCTGGGTTGCTCAAATTCTGCTTTTGGGCATTTGAAAGTTTAGCCATGCTCTTCTTGATATGAACTCTGGGCCTGGGCACTATCCCCCAGCTCTTCAGCTCAAGGTTAGCGCTCTACCACTTGAACCACAGTGCCAATGTGTAGGACACATTCTCTACCCTGTCCTCCTACAAGATCCTGTATGGTTTTGGGTAGAAATTTCCATCACTGGTTGACATTTCAAAGGACTCTTGTATAAAGAGATGCTGTTGGCGCTGGGCGCTGGTGGCTCACACCTGTAATCCTAGCTACTCAGGAGGCTGAGATCTGAGGATTGCGGTTCAAAGCCAGCCCGGGCAGGAGAGACCGTGAGACTCCTATCTCCAATAAACCACCAGAAAACCGGAAGTGGCGCTGTAGCTCAAGTGGTAGAGCGCTCACCTTGAGCTGAAGAGCTGAGGGACAGCGCCCAGGCCCAGAGTTGAAGCCCCACGACCGACAAAAAAAAAAAAAGAGATGCTGTTGGGAGAGTAGAGAGCCAGAGACCCGTGCAGATTATTCTGGCCAATTAAGAAGATTTTGGTTGGGCTGGGAAGGTGGCTCAGTGGTAGAGCGCTTGCCTTGCATGCATGAGGCCCTGGGTTCGATTCCTCAGCACCACATAAGCAAAAATAAGAAAAAAAGCCGGAAGTGGCGCTGTGGCTCAAGTGGTAGAGCACTAGCCTTGAGCTGAAGAGCCGAGGGACAGTGCCAGGCCCAGAGTTCAGGCTCCACAACTGGACCCCCCAAAAAAAGAAGATTTTGGTTTTGATGTCAACCATCTTTTACATGATCTTGAAATATTTTCACAAAGATCAGGCCAGTCATCCCCAGTGGATTTTTAAATTTGAAGATTATTCGTAATCTCTTTCTTTTAGGCTTATTTTAAATTAAATGTAATTAATTTTACATTAAATTAAATGTTTACATTTAAATTAAAATTACATGAGGGTGATTGCCCTCATGTAATTGATTTGCAAATCTGATTAAATATCCCACTTCTGAGCATCATACATTTCTTCGGAGAGTAGACAAACTGACTTATGATCCAAATGGTCATCTCCTTAGTTTTGTGTTTGTTTTGAATATTACATTATTATATACTGATGAAGAATGCATTTGCCTCAAAATTCAGTACTCTATATTCAGACTAATTAAATGGCCCATAGCATCATAGTTGAAAATATTTACAGTTTTCCTTTTGTAACTGGGGAAATTATATGACAAAAGTATATGGCACCTTAACATGCTCCTCCAGTCCACATAACTGCTGCCACTTACACACTTCCTTGAAAGTTGCTAGGGGTAGAGCCCGAGTGTTCCATCTCCAAGGAGAGCTGGTGCTACAATTTCAGTGTGTTCCCTCAGAAACTAAACCTGTGGTGAAACTAGTTCCTATTATGGTGGTATTAAGAGGTGGTTCCTTCTGGGAAGTGACTCAGTCCTTAATGGGACTGGCTACTTTATACAACTTTATGAAAGGGTTGTAGGGAACTCTTCATCCTCTCTTTTTGCTACTTGGCCCCTTGCCAGGTGATGATGCTACTGTGAGAAGATGCCAGTGATCCAGCATGTCCTTACCAGACCCTAAGCACCCTAGACGGGCTGATGTGCTCACCTTAGGCCGCCTACCATGCACAACTGTGGGAAATAAATCTCTATTCTTTATAAATTATTCAGATCCAAATGGACTAAGACATGAAGAAACCCTGTCTAATGGGAGAGACAGGTATAGACAAAGGCAAATACTATAAGAGGGCTATGAGCAGGGTCAGGACATCTAAGCAGTGCCTTGGAGCTCAGTTCTACTTAAGGATATGAAGGATGGATAGTGAAGAAGGGAGGCACTTTTCAGTTGAAGATAGTCCTATGTAAAGGAAGACAGGAGGCACGAAGGTGGGAAAAACATGCTGGGCAGCTCAGTGTGTAGAGCCTGATGCTTGGAGACAGTGATCAGAAAGGAGACCAGAGCAGGGTATGGGGCTGCCATGGACCACAGCGCATTCCACCATCTTGCACATCCTTATGGCCACTGTGCAGATGCTGACCTGCTGGTACCAAGGTGGAAAGACTGGGAAAGAAGTTGTACTCCTTGCCATAAAGTGGGGAAATCACTTGGTTGAATTGTGTTCTAGGCTCTGATGGAAAAACAGAACTTGTGAGCAATGAGACTGGGTGCTTAGCTGAGTGGAGTCCTGAGGCAGGTGTTGGAGGAGTGACTTGGATCCTCCTGGCTGTTCTTTGTAAAATAGGAGAGGGATGAATTCGGGGAGGAATTGTTAGCAAAGAGCCAGAACTCTAAGATTCAGAAATGTCTTAGCTTATCCATATTTCAAATTTTGAGGATGCATGTTTGGGGGAGAAGTTGAGGGTATGGCTGGACAGTTGCTCTATAAAGGGGTCCCTGTGATGCCAGTCAGCCATCTTAGCAGAAACCAGGACCAGAGACGGCATCACACCTGCAGAGACATCACCAGTTTGAGTCAAGTGGGACAGAGAAAGTGAGACAGAAGGACGAAAGTGTGTGCTATAGCACATGCCCATGGAGTGGCTATGAATGGATGCTATTTATTCTTCAGTGAAGGGGAAGAATGTCCCCAGAGGCGATTCAGATATCACGAGGCTGCCTTTCCTACTCTGTGTCCAGGGGGAAGGCTGTTTCCTCCTTGGTCTCAGAGTGCAATTCCCTCAAAGGAAGCCAAAGGGGCAAGGTAGCCCACAGGGCCGTGGGGTGGTGGAACATTGAGCCAGAGAGGGTTGCTCTTGAGTCTTGTGAACTTGCGGAGTTGGCCTGGCTAGGTGCAGATTCCCCCGGGACCCCTCACTCATTGCTTCTTTCCTCTTGCTACCTTTTGTCATGACAAGCTCTTTCCTGGGTTTTTGGAAGGGTGTCACTTGTCTGTGTTTTACAGATAAACAGACATACAGAAGTTTTACCTTAGGATAATTTGTACTGAGAGATTTAACCTACGTCTGATTTAGATAAGATGTTGGACTTGAGATTATAGACTAGATGCTGGAATGAATGAAAACTTTGCAGGCTATTTGGAGGGAATGAATCTAGCATGTGAGAAGAATGTGACTTTTGAAGGATGCAGGCACAATACTACGGACTGGATTGTGTCCTGTAAATTCACATGAGCCCCCAGCCCACATAATATTTGGACATAGGTCTTTTCTAGAGGAGTTACAGTTATGTAAGTCAGGTAAAGAGCACATTTCTTTTTGGACAATATCACTCCTTCCCTGGCTCTCTTCCAGGTTTTCCCTCCCATCCCCACCCACAAGTTATATAGTTCATTTTGGATGTGGGATTTTGAAGGTACTTAGGGGATTGTAATCATCAGTCTGATGGGAGTAGTATCCTGATAAGAAATGACATCAGAGCCTTTGCCTTCTTTTGTCCAGGTGAGGCTACGATGAGAAGATGGTCACGTGCAAGCCAGGAAGGGAAGTGAACTGGGGTGCACCTTGACCCTGTACTTCTCAGCCTCCAGAATAGTAAGAAAATAAACTTGTATTTTATGAAGGTCAATGGACTAAGACAGATGTTAATTCACATAAGGAAAAATGCCAGGGTGACAGTGACTTCATTTTTGTTGTTTTATGCTATTTACTTACTTTGGGGTTGTCCGTGTCCTGTGTGCAGTGCTAGTAGGCAGACAGGAAGAGCGGGCCTGTGGGCAGCTGGGCGGAGCAGAGAGGAACAGTGGAGAATCACTAGGGTGGGAGAGAACGTGGGGAGCTTGCACACAGATGAGGCAGAAGCCAGGGGGCGTGCAGAAATTGTCCAAGAGGAAAAAATAGGGAACAAATGAGAGAAAATCAGAAAGTCCAGACACTTAGGACACGCGAGAGAAGAGGTGAAGGCAAGGAGCCTCTGGCTAGAGATGGCAGAGGAGGAAGATTCAAGGCCATTTACAATAGGGCTGTGGCTGAAGCGAGTTCACGTAGGCTGTGGCCCAAAGCAAAAACACTGAGCTGTAATGAGGGCCAGGCCAGGGCAGTGTTCTGGGGTGAAGTCAGTTTACAGTGGGTTCTAGCGAATGAGTCGGGTCCTGTCTTTGTCATCTCTGGCTGCGGAGTCACACTAGCACTGATGGGGTGAACAGCAGACATTGATTTCTCAGGGCTGTGGAGCGTTGGGGGGGGCTGCGTACTTTTTGTTACATCCTCACATGTCACAAAATGCTAGAGAGCATGGGGTGGGGGTGGGGCTCTTCTTCTAAGGGCACTAATCCTGTTCATGGGAGCTCCGCCTTGCTGATGCGATCACTTCTCGAAGGCCCCAGTGCCTAACCCAGAGCCTGCCAAGTGCAGACAGTGTGAAGTGGATGAGGTGCCTGGAGGGGAGGCTGATGGGAAGTGTGATCACCTCCTTCCTCTAACCTTCTTGAAGTCTACCTTCATTCCTATTTTCATAGCAGAAGACTACAGACAGGTAAAGAAACAAAACTCTGTTCTCCTTTTGGGCATATTAACCCAGTCCATATTTTTGACATTCAGATGATTCTGCACTGCCCAATATGGACAAATTCTCTGTCTTCTTCCCCTAGACACTCTTCACCTCAGTGGCTCACATCTACTCTTTGCCTGACAAGCATCATGTCAGGATTCCTACAGTGTGGTTAAAGTTGTGTGTGTGTGTGTCAGTGTAGGGATGAGTGTGTGTGTGTGTGTGTGTATGTCTGTGAATGTGTGTGAATGTGTGTACCAGTATGTAAGAATGATTGTGGTTGGGTGAATGTGTGAGTGTATGATGGATGTGTAGGTTGGGTTTGAGTGTGTGTGTGTGTGTGTCTGTGTGTGAATGACTGAGAGTCTCCTTCCTGAACCCATGGGCCGTGGCCCTGATCTCAGCCTTCCAGCCTCCACAACTGTTAGAAATTAATGTCTGCTGTTTATGAGCCACTGGGCCCAGGCTGAGTGCGTGGGAATATGTGTGTGCAAGAGTATGTGCAGGTGAGAGTGAGGTGGGTGACTCTAACCTGTGTGATGGTTAGTGTGTACAAGCATATACAAGCCATGGGGGTGGGTGGATGGCCATGTGAACATGTGCATTTGGGTCAGTGTGTGTGTCAGGACATGTGTGTAAGTACTTCTTCAGTCATGTATGTGAACTGCATGTAACTATAGAATATGATTTTAGATGCCTGTATTCTGTGAAGAGGATTGGACATCAGAATGATAACTTTTATGTTACCTCTGTTTTACCACTTCAAAAGACAGAACGAAGCTACCCCCAGGAACGTTTATTGAGCTCACCCTTCTTCAGAGTGCAGTCCGAATGATAGATGCGAGGATTTGTGTTGATTCTTTCTTTCTCTGTCCATGCCGGCAGTCAGCCTCTGAGGGCACCCAGGCGTATCTTTCAGTCTTGAAGACCCACAGCTCAACAGATGTGATGTGTGCCACGGTCTGAGATTGCTTCATAGTTGAAGCAAGAAGAAATATATGTATGCTAACACTCTTCTTGACACATCAAAATAATGTGTTAATTTAGGAAAAAGTGATTCAGATGTGTCTTTGTGTAATCGTTGGCTTTTTAAATGACACACATAGCATTTATCTGGGTTTTAGCCTTGCTGAGAAGTGGTTGAATTCCAGCAAGGAAAAAGACCTCCAGCTGGGATAACTATCCTATAATTAGTGATGCATTTTTAAAAGGAAACCCAGAAATTATTGGAGACAGTTGATGTAAAAATCTCCACATTTTTAAGTATGTGTTGCTAACATGACAGGTTGAGCTTATGTGTGGCGTGGAACACAACATCACACCACACACACACACACACACACACACACACATCACACCAGCTCTTTTCTATATTCCTCTAGAAAGCTTTCTGAATCTCACCTAGCAGCATTTCATCTGAAATTTTAATCTGTGCTGTCATGTTTTTAATTTCGATGACTCACATCGAAATTGTCTTAAAAAAAAAACAACAAAAAAACCCCCACCAAGAAACCTGTCACGGTTTCTGGATGCAGAACTTCTCTTATCTCTCTGAGGAGACTAAAGTTATTTAAAATTCCCTTTCTGTCTCTCTAACTAGTGTCTAGGAATAAATAATTTTTAGAGCCTGGGTTCAGGCTGGGGTAGCGTGCCCTCAGCGGCCGCTCTGTGACTGCGTGCTAGCACGCCTTCGTCTGAATAAACATTGGATTCTCGCCAGGCTCAGTAGTGCACTGAGCACAAACATTCTGTTTTGTCCTTTATGAGGCCCTACTAAAACTAAATGAAGGGATTTTTTTTTTTTAAATGAAAAGTAAGATAAACCTGAAAAGGGAAGCCATAAAGGTCAATAACAAAGTACAGGAATTTGGACTTTGTGATGAATTGATGAGAATAAATGCATAAAAAATCATTATTAACATAATAATATTTTTTTTCCTGTCAGTCATGGGGCTTGAACTCAGGGCCTGAGCTCTGTCCCTAAGCTTTTTTTTGCTTCCGGCTAGCACTCTACCACTTGAGCCACAGCTCCACTTCCAATTTATTGGTGATTAATTGGGATGAGAGTCTCATGGACTTCCCTGCCTGGGCTGGCTTTGAACTAGTGATCCTCAGATCTCAGCTTCCTGAGTAGCTAGGATTACAGGCTTAAGCCACCAGTATGCCTGGATTCATAATAAAAATTTTCCTCCAAATCACTTTCCATAAGTTGTATATGACTTAAGAGCTTTCTAATACTTAGCCAGGTTCTTATTTTCAAATTTGAATGATAAGAAAAAGAACTATTATATTATTGTAAGGATACTATATTTTTTGGACTGAATTATTTTCTGTTCTGTAAATTGGCTAATGTATAATCTATAGAAAAAGGGAATACATTATTACAAAACTTGGATAGTATATAATTGATGATAGGTTAGCACTTTGTGTATCTTAGTTTGACTGGATAACCCCCATAGAAAAATGACACCAATATGAAAATAGCACATAAATTATTATATGAAAGCATAAGGTCTATTATGGCAAATTAAATCATTACAATAATGTTCATTAAACATTGTCAAAACAATAACTAGATGGTAATGATTTGGAGAAGACTTCAGGGGAGAAATTTCAATCTGTCCCTTTAAGAATTTATCAGGGTGGTATTTTCTAGCTAGCTACAATAGAGGTAAGTGGAATGAAGTAATGATTTTAACAGAACTATAAGAAAAAAGTAGTTTAGGGATTGTTCAGAGGGATGGATTAGAGTCACGTCCATAAGATCTCCTCCTTTCAAACTTCCTGGTTGTGCTAGTGTTTTGTTTTTTTTTTTGGTGGTGAGCTAGATGTACCTTTCTTTTTTTTCTTTCTATTATTCTTTTAGTTAGGGCTACACAAGTGTTTCCATTCTATTTTGATTCTAGCAACTTTTACAGTATCGAGTAGCCCAGAATCATCTCTAAAATTGTCTTGTAGTGTTTTCATGAAGGCAAAACTGGATGAAATGAGTAACATGCTTTGCTTTTTTGTATGTGTCTTATTTCCCCCATAATGTGTCCTACAAAGTATTGTTATTATTATTATATTATTATCTTGGCAGTACTGGAGTTTGCACTCAGAACTTTGCTCACTCTTGACTTGCTTGTTTGGTTGAGACTTTTATCACTTAAGCCATGCCTCCAGTCCAGCATTTTGCTGGTTAATTGGGGTAGTGTCTTATGGACTTTATTGTCTGGGCTAACAATGAATTATGATCCTTAGATCTCAGTCTCAGGTCTAGGATGAGAAGCTCTCTGTATCTCTTGATAGAAAATGGTTTGCAAAGCCAAAGCCTTGAATGGCAAGTAGCATCAGTAGGGACAGTTGTACCTCAGACAATACTTCCCCGAATGCACTGGTGGGTCCTTCCCAGAGAAGTTGCTTTGCTCTAGGAACGGAGGGGAAAATATAATAAATAAGCTCTATGTCTTGGTAATCATGATCAGAGAACCCGTTCCCTAGTGGATACTGAGTATAAGGTGTACACCTCAGCCAGCTGTTGAAGCTAGCTACACAGTAGAAGGCAAGGGATGGTGGGAGCAGAGGAATGCACAATCTGTGAGTCTACAACTCACAGATTGGTGGAGACTAGTCTGGATGTAGTACAGAGATGGGATCCCTTGTGCCCAAAAGCTAGCACACAAATAAGGAATCCAGGGCCTGGGAAGGTGGCTCAGTGGTAGAGTACTTGCCTTGCATGCATGAGGCCCTGGGTTCGATTCCTCAGCACCACATAAGAAAAAAGCGGGAAGTGGCGCTGTGGCTCCAGTGGTAGAGCGCTAGCCTTGAGCTGAAGAGCTGGGGGACAGCGCGCAGGCCCAGAGTTCAGGCCCCACGACCAGACCCCCCCCCCAAAAAAAAACAAAAAAAACAAAACAAATAAGGAATCCATTTTTCAGGAAGGAACAAAGAAGGGGAAGGACTCACTTTTACCTTAAGCTCTTGGTATCTGGGCAGAGAATAAACTCACCAGGGTGGGGTCTCAGCCAATCCCTTCCTGACTTTGAAAGAGAATAGGTTTGCT